AGTTTGACCGGGTGAAATACATTTGCTTCAGACGAAGTAATATTGGAATATTTTTGGTTATGTTCTATGGCTTATTTTCCTTTGCTGGGTATCATTACCGTGCCTATAAATATTATTCTTCATTCGATACTTAATACTCTATAGTTTTCGCCGCCACTACTATCACCCTCTTGTTCTCTTCATTTATTTACTTGATAGTCCATTTTATTAAACTAATAGTTATATTATTATTCCAGTGCCAAAAAAATTTAATTATGAGTAAAACAAATCTGCCTGTTGGGCGTTTATTCAAACATTGATTATAAAAATATTCAATTACAGAACTTTAACATTTTCGAATAGCGTCCGGTGCATGGAAACCTTTCACACTCCACTAGACAGGGTCCTGACCGTGAACATGAAAGATATTTTTCATCAGTAAAACCTTTGGGAGTTGAGCCCCGGCTCAATATTGTAAAGCCCCCCTTCAGCCCCGGAACCTTCATGCACTCAGTACCTATGCTACCGTCAGTCTACCCATTATAAAACGGTCACATTAATTGCATCGTATGAAAAAACTGTTAAAAACGGTCAGGGGCAATTTCAAACAAATTTCTATGCTAATAATAACATAGGGATACCGCTTTGAAAATAGTGTATACAATGAATTTCATAAATCATATTCTAAAATACCTATCGACGGAGTGTCTATATAATAATTAGTAGGTAATAATAATAATATTATAATAATGCAAATGGAAAGTTTTTAATTTAAAATAAGTTATCACGATAATATAATATAATATATGCAGCATGAGTACGTGAAAACGAAAATAATGCGTTGAATTAAACGGCTGATCCATTAGAATATTAATAACGTCTTTTGTACTTATCTATACTGCTTACTGTGTCTTTTTTGTATATTTTTTTTATTTGTAAAAGAACAAAGCGAATCAATAATGATTTGGAAGTTCGTTGAAGTAACATTATAGCTACGAAGAATGTCACCAACATTTTATTTAGAATTCTCTTACCCGAGTAACGAGATATGTATGAATGATTTAATGATATCGCTATTTTTTCTGAATGTAGTGAAGAAAATATCAGTCAAGCTGTCAACATTAAATCATTCACAGCGTACCTTAAAAGATACTGATTTTTCGCACGGTGGTACTTTAATTGAAACATTTTTCTAGTTTTTTTTTTTTGAAAAAAACCTGGCAAAAATAAGGTAAGTTATTGAGACAAAAACTAACATCAGTAACAGGTTTTATTGTCGTTGATTTCTGCGTTACCTTGGCTACAATAAGAGGAAAAAAGGTCTATAATTATACCAGTTTACCGAGCTTCGCACTGAATTGTTTTTTGATTGAAATGAACAATGATTTATCAGTGTTTATTTCAGACCATCTATCTCCGGAGGGTATCGTACCTCCTCTTTTCAAGGGTTTATTCCAAAAGCAGAACCGGATCTAGGAATTTTAACATCCACTGAAAATATACTCAATGATGACTTCTTTTTTTTTGTAGCTCTTTAAAGTACGGTTATTTGCACAATATTTTAGATTCGAAGCGTAATGAGGGGATATATTGATGTGTATTGTTATTATTTTTTTAAATATTTTCTCTGTCTGTAAACAACTTTTCGAAAAAAAATCTTACTACGATATATAAAGTTTAGCACTTTTTCTGAAAGGAGATTTTATCTAGTTTATGTATTATAATAGAGAGGTAGTTTTTGATTATCTAAGGGGTTTCCGAAATAATTGGGAAAAACCCGCAAGAAAACTATAGGTAAAACGGCAAATATTTACGGCATACCGCGCGTCGCGGCGTTACCGATTTCATCATTTTTAATATTTTCTCTCAGAAATATTATTCTAATAGATAAATTACAAGAGATCGATTTAGTTTATTTTAATATATAGCTTTTGATAAAGAAAGCCGTTTTTCGATAGCAAAAGCATTTTTCATAATAATCGGGAAAAACCAAAAAAGATGAAAAATACTATTTTTTTTCTTTAAATTACAACAGAAAGATTTAATTATTTTAAATTTTTACGGCTTATGTCTTTTACTATAAATATTGCTCCAGTAAAAGGAATAACTAGAGACCTTCTTTGTTGTATTTAAATCTAGTTGGTGAGTAAGAAAGTCGTTTTTTATTTGCTTTGTAGTTTTTTTTAATGATTGAATAAACCCGAAAAATACGTAGAAAGAAAGGGATAGTTTTCGAAAATAAATCATTCTTTTATTATTTTAAATTTTGTTTTTTTTAATGTAGTTCAGTTAAAAATATTCACAGACTTGAAATGTTCACAAAAACTTATATTAGTATTTTTTGTTGTGTCGCGAAAACGCGTATTGTATAATTGTTAAAAAAGCAATAATCTTGGTTATATATAATATTGCAATAATATATTAACTCCGGTCAGAATCGTTTTTCGTTAGTAATGATTAATCTTTGCGTATAGATATGTAATAAATTCTCCTGTATGTTTTACATTTCTCATTTCCCAACCTACAACAGTGGCCGCACCCGTCCCCAGTATCAGCTCTTTTTAAAATTTATTTTTGATCGCAGTATACGAAATACGCAATAAGATCAAATAGAGAACACAAAATAAACATGGAACGTGAAAATCCTACCAAAAGTAACCTACCTATTATTATTTTTTCGATGTTGGTCGTAACGGGCCGACTACGTGAACATATTTTTAATTATTACATTTTATTATTATTGGCATAGGTATAGTAAAAACAGTTAATCGTGATAAAGATAGTATGAACGGGAAATTTTATTTATTTTTTGAAAACGGTGTATTCGTCGACTTGCATGATTTATCTACAGTTATTCTTGTATAAGTTATTAAAAAAAAAAAATGTATTTGTTTAAAAACTTAATATACCTATACTATCGTCGAATGAATTTAATATATTCACAGAACTCGAATTTGTACAAGCAGTAATTAATCTTTTATAAGCGAAATTCACCGTAAAATATTACCTTTATATAATCAAATAATTACAAAAAAATAAATTTTTACAAATTATATAGTACCTACCTAAAGTTTTCATTTAAAAACTCGTAATGGTTACATAAATAATCAAATAAAATTTCAATAATTATAATGTAACTATAATTTAGGATAGAATAATATTAGTATACAATTTGGCGTTCTAACATCTGGAATATTATAATAGGTAATCCTCTTCATAAATATATATACATATATAAATAATAATGCTATTATACAATTAAATATAAATATAAATTATAATATCAAATTTTGACGAAAATTCTAAATATTACGGCCTTTAAAAACATATATAACCGTACTTTTGTCTGAATCGTTTTTCATTTGCAATGTTTTATCGTTAGTTACCGATATAAATTAAATAACATTATGTATCCTATGATTTTTGACAAAATTTGATTTTAAAACTCTTATAAAAAAAAACTATTACATTACACTGAATTTTTTTTTACCTCTAAAATAATCTCAAAATTAAAATAACTATAAATAGCTTAAAAGTTGTTCAAATATTTGAAAATTTCACCACGTGTAGAAAATGCAAATATAAGTTTTCTGCCAAAATTTCAAACCTACGGATATTTTTAACTGAATAAAAACAAAATTTAAAATAATAACAGAATTATTTGTGGACATTTTTCCATAATTTCTACTTTTTTTTTGGTTTTTTCCAATTATTAAAAAAAAATTGGTCACTGACTAGATTAAAATTTCAACAAGAAAGATTTCTGTTTTTTCTATTGGATTAATATTATTGGTAAAAAATGTAAGCCATACAAGTTTAAATTAAAGGAATCTTAGCGTTGTAAATGTATTAGTTTTCATTTTTCGTCTTTTTCTGGGTTTTCTTAATTATTACAAAAAAATAAAAATAAATTGCTTTCTCACCACCTACATTAAAAATGCAACAAAAAAAAACTCTCGTCATTTTTCTATTGGAGCGACATTTTTATAAAAAAACATAAGACGTACAAATAAAAATAATGAAATCGTTGCGCCGTTTATGGCGTTTCATATATTTGGTTTTTCTCAATTCGTTAAAAACGCAAAAAATATTATAATTTATCATTTTTAAATTTATGCAATTTTAAATTTAAATTTATCCAAACACGTTTATGAGAACTTGCTCAGAATCGTTGTTTGTTTGCAATGACTTATCGTTGCGTACACAAGATTAAATACAAATGAAATTTACCTATATAATCCTACCTTGCCAATTTCTCACCTGCTACAGTGATGAAGTATATTAGTAGTAATATTTTAATAATTATTTTTTATAACATATAATATTTTTTATTTCATTTATGTTATCTTATCTGCCGATAGCGTATACATTTGCAACGAACTGGGAACGTGCGGACTGAAACCTTTAATGCACCAAATAGATAAAAATTCCTTTCAGAAAAGATACATACACTATACATCAGAGTAAGATTTCTTTTCAAAAAGTTGTTTACAGAAAAAATAAAACACATAGTAAAACCAATAGATCCCTCGCTATGTTCTGAATCTAAAAGAGATGAAATATCGTTACGCCTTAAATAAGGGATCTTTTGGGTTATTATTGTCCAATAGACCACGATATTAGGCAAGAGGAGAGAGAAACGGGTTACCTTTTAGCAAAAAACCTATAAAGTATAATTCACGACAAATAAAACATGACTTATTGGTTCTAAGGAAGACGAATTCAAGTCGATTTTTTATAGTTTTCAAAAAAGCAAATGTACATTTTGAACATTTCTAAATGAAATAATTGCTATAAATGACTAAATGCTAAATCGTTAAATGTCCTAACCTAAATATGGTGTTCTAAATGTCTTATTAGTGATATAAATATATTACTTATGGTTTTATTTTGTCAAATAAAAAAGGACATCATAGTGAATTAAGATTTTTTAATTTTTATTATAAAACTACAATAATTGTTTGAGAACATACTAACATTTATGCCATTAAGATAAAAAAAAAATATAGGGCAAAGGATTGCATTAGACAAAAACATTAAAAGAAATTCCAAAAATTCACTTATAATTCCCATTCTTTCCTGGATCCAAAAATAACTTTCCGTTAAATATAATATCCAGTTTCCAAATTGAAATTGTATAAATTGTTTTTCTGTGGCATATTATATAAGTAAAGCACTATTATTAAAACATGCATGTATGTTTTGTTTCTTCTAGTTTTTTTAAATACATACGACTTATTTTGTCGCCTAATAGACACGATTCGGTGCGATTATTATTTTTAAAAAACATTTCAGTACTGGGTATTATTGTTTAGTAAATTAAAAACTCTGTCTTACAGTATTATAAACAGCCAGCTTTTTGTCATCACTAGGCTAAGTTATCGTTCACTACTCTCTTCGAAAACAGTCATGCTCTGCCCTCTATAAAAAACCTATAATATTTAAATTTAGCGAGCATTTTGTAAACGAAAAAATACCCACAAAAAATCATTTAAAACAATAAATTCGATGCCCTTTTCGACATTTCCGCCCTAAGTTCGCCTATTTAGGTAACCTTCATCTTATTTTATAGCTTGACGTTAAATTCACAACCGATTATAAAAAAATATATAGACATAGAATACATTCGTTTTTACGATTATGAATAAATGTCACGCGACTATATATTTAATAAATACATTTTATTTATATTAAAATAAATAGGTATCTCATCGATAAAAGTGAAATGTCGTCGATTTCGCCGAAGTATACATTAATAACTTATAGTACCTACCTACTTATAATCCATAAATATTTTCAAATTAATTAAAACTACACGATTCATTTTTAAGCGTTATAAAACATTAATAGACGAAATTAACATCAATTAGCATTAGAAAAATTGTTGAGCACAAACATTTTGAGCACAACATATTATCATTGTTTAAACCAACAATAATAATAATAATATTCGTTATCAACAAGTACTATTATTGATCATAAATATTCATTACATTGTAGTGGACATACATTTTATAACATCAGGGTCACTGGATTTTTTAAAATTAATTTAGAATTTCTAATATTATATTATAAAAATACGATTTTTTTTTTTATGTTTACAAATTACTCCAATAATAATAATAATGTGATTTTAAACATACGTAATTGGATTTTTTGTTTTATGTATCGTTAAAATATAATTTAAATTATTTTTAGTTTGTATATACAAAGAAGAAAAAAATTAATAATAACGGATAAACTCTCTTTGAATTACCTATAATATTGTAAAATATTATACAATTATTTGAACGCGTCTTGAGATTTCTTGAGCGAAATTTCGTTAAAAAATTTCGAAAGAATACATTCGACATTGACGTTGGCTTTTTTTAAATACAACAAAAAAAAAACATCGTACAAAAATAAATAATCGGACAAATTGCGCCTAAATTTAGACAAGGTTCGACCTTTAAACGTTTTAAACTCGCGTTTTCAAAATTACAAATTGTTCACGCTTATAATTTGATTGATCCAACCGATAAACGATGATACTTTTACGTAGACGCCGGGCACGTCTATTCTGCCACATCCGAATCCCCAAGACACCAACCCTGCAAGTTCGTAAAATCCATCGTCTTGGCACACCAAAGGTCCACCGCCGTCACCCTGTAAATAAAATTGCACGTTTCAAATCGTTACGAAACGTTTTTGTGCGACGCTTTTCCCACATCGGCGAAATATAACGACAGACCCACCTGACATGCGTCGTTTCCCGCCTCGCCGCCGGCGCAAAAGCTGCTGGCAGGCAGTATGAATATCTTCTCGGTCACGGCGTTTATCTTGCGTATGCATTCGGTGTCACTGACCACCGGGATCTCGGCCTCGCGTATGCGCAACGGGATCGGGCCCGCCTCGCCCATGTACCCGTAACCGGTGACCGTGCACCGCTTGCCGGCCGCGTGGTTTACGCCCCTGGCTGGCAAGCACACCAGACACACGCCGTCCTTGAGCTCGGCCTGCCCGTGCAGCTTGAGCAGCGCTATGTCGTTGTCCAGCGTCTGCGAGTTGTGGTTGTGGTGGATGTACGTGGTGGCCACCCGCAGGGTCTGCGCGCCCGGGCTACCGTACTTTCTGGTCAGGTCGTGGTCACCCACGCGCACGTAGATGGCGTCGCCGGACCTCACTATGCTGCGGACACGCGGTAATTGCGCACAAACGCGCGTTTCCGTATATTAGTCATTGTTAGTGATGGGAAACGGTGACGAAAAAAATGCGTCACCGCGACGATGGTAACAGCGATTCAAAAGGTCACGTTTACTTTTAACGGTGACTCGTCACCACATTTTTCGGTAACGTGGTGACAAAATACTGGCCGCTTTAATAACTATACAATAGGCTAGGGTTTGTTTGATTTTATAATCGCCAAACCAGGATATCATATTGAATGGCCTTTTTTTTTTCCAGATGTAACGCTTGATATTATTCTACGTTTTATTATTAAACTAGATGTCCCGCGGCCGGCGTTGCCCGTGTAAACTTTTTTATAATTTTACCTTTATTTCCGTATTGCTTTGTCCGTATCAGTATACTGAATTAGAAAAAAATAGGTGGAAAGTGAGTAGTCCGCGGACTAAACGTGTTCTAGAGTATCATAATTTTTTCATTCGCGTTACCATAGATACCCGCACAACACAGGAATTAAACTATATATCCACTATAATAACCCTTAAATTATTAGGACATAAAATAATACTGTAGTGTTTTTATTGTACTAAAAAGTACAAATATTCAGAGATGACGTTTTACGTGTTTTTACTTTTCACTTACCCACCCCGTACAGCGCATAGATTTTTGTTTTTTTTTTTTTACACCCATGTTACCAAGATAACCTGTCCTATTTCAAGCCAATAGTATACTGGGAGAGTGTCAGATAGACTCTTTATTTTAAGTTTTTATAATTGTTACGGCATTTTTATTTCTGTTTATTTTCTATTTTACATTTTTTTTTCATTTCATCCGTGTTACTATGGTAATCCATAATTTAACAAAAATAATTTAATTTTCGTACCAAAAATACCTGAAAACCTTTTATCCCCTTTTTCATCGCCTTCATGTTTTATTTTCGCGACAAAAAGTAACCTACGTTTTTCTCTAAAGGTACATTTATTTCTATACCGAAATTCATCAAAACCCGTTCAGTAGTTTTTGCGTGAAAGAGTAACAAATATCTATACATCCTCACAAACTTTCACATTTATAATATTTTAAGTAGGATAATACGGGATACAGCTATGGGGTGATTACTGTACCATCGGGGTCACTTGCAGTAAGCAGCTTAGAGATTATCTAATTTATGGAATCTAATACCTAATTCTATTATACCTTGATCCTTATGTTTTAGAATAAATTTAGTTTACCTAACTAACATACTAACTAACATGATACGTATTGTGAACTTGTATGGGTAACAGTTTAGGTTGAAATAGAGCGAAAGAATTATTATGAGTTTTACAAAAATATTTTTTTTTTTTTCAGAAAACACATTTTCGTTAGTAAATCAATAAATTTACTCTAATTTTTCAGAAAAAATGCGAGATTTTCAGTTCGATGGTATTTTGTTCGACATTTTTTTCTGTGCTTTAAGTTATTATATGAGAAAAATAGAAAAAAAAAATTATAAATGTTTAACGAACCAAGTTCTCCAGTATCGCTTTTTTGCTTGTAATGATTTATCGTTGCATACAGTAATTAAACTAAATCCATGGTGCTGAGTTTACTTATTTTCAAATTTAATTAGCCGCAAATATCATAGAATTGGTTAATACCGATGATACCGGTATAATTACCGTTAATACCGAATATTCGGTATATCGTTTATAACCGGTTAACTGTAAATACCGAATACTGGTATTGGATTCGAATACCATCAGCCCTAACAGAACACGGTTATAACATATTTGTATAACGTAAATTCATTTGAAATTCTCCCAGTAAATCTTCGGTTTGTGATCAATGCGTGAATCACTCTGTATACACGAGGCGAGATTATCGTGTCGGCTCGGACTGGAAAATTCGGGCAACCGCCGAACGCGGAACAATACGACACGGTTCTGTTGTACGATATCGCGTACTGTAACGTATTACCCAAGTACCTATTTTCGTGTATTGTTGCCCAAACACGTGTTATTTCGGTGTTATTATAATAATAGTAATAATAACGTGTTGTTATTACGCTTGTGTGGGCACGTCCGTCCGTTCTAACCGGAAACAAACGATACACGTACCACGTATAATGTTATAGAGGACGGACACGAATCTACGCCGCCGGAGGAGAAGTTCGGTCGGAACCCTACGAGGTTCGCGGGTACCTAGTACAATGGAAACGCCGAGTATTGATACCGAACGCCCGGAAAGTTTTAACCGTGTGAAATTGTCGGGCGAATTATTATTATTATAGACAAATGAAAATAATATAACGGTTAAACGGACGAAATCTATTTAAAAATATACACGCACTGGCATACAAAAAAATCAAGAGGTAACACGAAAATATTCTCGCTTTACTAATTATATTAAACGTACCTACCTAAGTTATTATCATGTCGGTAGGTGTCCCTCGCATATAAAAACAAATAGCCCGAGAAGATTAAAAAAAAAAAAAACTCATTAGTACAACACGTACTATATTTTAATTTTAATAAGCCGACGGTTTTTTAAAACATTTTCTTTTTTGTTTGTTTGTGGGACAGTAGCGTAATACATACGTGATTCAATAATTAGAACGGAAAACGAACGGAACTTATACTACTGCAGCCTGCAGGTATTACACCGACTAATATTTTAGTCAGAGAAAATTATGAAAAATATCCACAAATAAATTCGATTTACGAAGGCGATAATAATTCAAGACTGGGCATTAACGAGTAAAAAAGTCAATAGTCGAGTTAATTTTAACACTTTTGACTGTTGATTGTTTTATCAACCCGTCTTATTATTGTTTACGTTATTTAACGGATAATAAGTTGATTATCATTAATTATATCACGTCAGGTTAAATTAAATCACTTTTGATTTTAAGTTTTAACACAATTTATTATTATATTAAGTGCTATCGTGATTATAACTTATAATAATTGTATATATGTTTAAAAAGAAAACACTGTATTAGATTAATATATACTGCCGCCTTTAGATTAAACGCCGTAAATCGAAAAAAAAAATGATACTATACTACGTTTAATATTATAGTTTTACGCGTTTCTCAAATATAATCTCATGTTTTTTTCGATTTACGGCTTTTTTTTCTTAGGACTGCAGTATGCATATAAAAATGAATGTTCCTTCCTAAACCGTTCATCCGATCGCCATGACACTTTAGGAAGTTGTTGAGTACACTCCCGTAAAGGTTTCTGGCATAGTACATGTATGACATTTTTCAATAGCTCCATCATCACCCACAAAAATCGGGTTTCAGGTACTTTTAGTACGAAGATAAAATAATTATTTTTATTTATGGGTTACCTTGGTAATATACGGATGCGAAAACAAATATTATTAGTTAACTGTGTTGTCATGGGCAAATTCGTATTATGTCTATGGTATGTATTATATGAGTGTGAATATAGGTAACTACGATTTTTTTTTTGTCAGGATTGTAGAAAAAATGTTTAATTTTAATTGCCGACATTAAAACATACGATATTATAAGACATACATTAAACATACGTTACAAATCTTTGTTTTTCGAATACTGCATCGTCGACAGATATGCTTTCCCAAACAGAAATCAGTTGTTCGATCTACTTCTGAAGTACGAAAGAAAAGGCATTACGAGCAACGGAAAGCAAGATTAGAAAAGAAATATAATAGATAAAATAAATATTAAAAATTGGCATTTGGCATATGTAATATATGTGTGTATACATATAATACAAGCTGTCCTGCCCGGCTTTGCCATTGCCAATTTTTTAATATTTTTTGTTTTTATATATTAAATAAAAAACAAAGTGCCATTCTGATTTCCGGGGTAATCTCCGAAAGTACTCATCCAATCGTTATGTGTGGTTTTTTTTTTAAATGATGCGCAGTATATCGTGGAGAAGGTTTTAAGCAATTGAAAACATTGAGCTGAACAGTAGAAGTAGTAGACGGCCTAACCTGCAGTAATTCGGGCTTGATAAAAAAAAATTATCAGATATTTTTCTTTGCTTAGTAACCATATAGGTAATTTATATAAGTTTGAAAAATAAAAATAAAGAAAATGCATTTTTAAAAATTCAAGGGCAACAACGGTTAACTGCAGTAATAGTGACGGAGAACAAAGTTCTATTCACTATTTAGTGATTGAAACAAGAAATCTAGAGGGAAATCGTTTTTATTACTCATTTATTTGGCACGAGAAACATTGGGCGGGACAGTACTCAATAAAATATTAAATAAAAAACTGCATGTAGAGTATTTTCAGATAATAATTAATCAGACTTCTAAATCTATGTCATCTCATCGGGTTATTCAATCTCTTCTACTCGAATTGGTTACTACCTTTGTAAAAAATCATAATTTTTTATGTGTATGTATTCCTGTTTTCGATTTTACATACAGTCGTGTATTATTTGGTTTTTTCCATTCTAATACCTGATGGTGATTTTTAAATCGACATCAGTCGTATATTCGATTATCATACCTTTTTACCATAACGTATATACCTATATATTGATTTTTTTTTTTGTCATTTATTTTAATTTTATTGATACCTATTTTTACTTTTGATAAATATATATATTTTTTAAACTCATTCAATAAAAAAATCAGGGGAAATTTTTTTATTTTTTTTTTTTATTCTGGTGTTTAGAGGTGAGGCTGAATCTTTATTCCACCCAAGTACATAAATTCCTGTGTTTAACGTTGATGGTTTTTATTTCCAAATATCATAAATTCTATATGTTTAACTATTATATAGTTTAAAATTAACAGTTAAAAAAAAAATTAAAATTTTTAGTACAATTTTTAATTTAATTTAATTTTTCTTTTTATATATGAAATCAATTTCGTTTTGATGTGTTAACTCGTTACTTTGTTTTCGACTATCTTAACCAAGTTAATAGTGGTCATTAAATTGCCCAGCCTTGGCTTATAGTACAATATTGATGTCGCATTTAAATTAATAACTACAATACTTCGATACGGTTAGTGCAGATACAGATTGAGGACGATTGCTCAACAACGGAATCATATACCACAGAATACAACAGAACGAACATCGACGAAAAAATAAATATTGCTTATTATAAGTGTATTTATTACGTAATAGAAAGGCGTTTTTAAAATTCCACAATTCTGCTATGAATCACATTGACTATCGAAGTCACGGTATGGAAATATAATTTGTTTACTAAAATAAAAGATTTAACGAAACCGTTTCCTATGTTTTAACTTTTAAATGAATATAAAACTATAGTTGCATATAAATTACGCCTCTTATAAAGGAGTATTAAAGCCAATAATAGACAAAGAACTGTAAAAGAAACGATCCGAAAGCAATAAGTTGAATTTATTGTGGATCTCGGACGTTTTATAAAAAAAAACAATAATTGATCGATAAATCTCCCTCAACCAAATCGGCTATTCGAAATATCGTTTATGGAGAGGTCGGTTGACACATGTGCTATCCTTCGTCGTTTTGGACACACTGTATAATATGAATATTTTTTACAGTGTGTAGCAAAACCATCACGACGTATTTTTTAAATAATATAGGCAACCGATTTTGTGTAGACATTTTTTCAGGGGGATCAAAGGTAATTGAAAAAAAATAAATGACGATTTCTTTTGTATAAAATAAACTCCCAACTATATATACATCGCAATATATAAATATTAAATAAGGAGGTGTAGGCCAAACGGGCCTACACCTCCTTGGGACATCTATGATTTCGTTATGTCTAACTATGTAACAATAACAAAAAAAAAAAAAAACTGCCAAATGTATAGTGAATTAGTAATTTTTTACCTATATAATATTATACGACGTAAAAGCTCTGATGACTATACACTTTTAAAGGTTATCATCATAATGTTATATTTGAAGTTATGGAACTATAAATATATACTTATTATTCCATGGCCGTGGCCTATATAGCACTGGGTATAAAGTATTTCGGACTTTCGTATCGTCGCTGTCACTGTATCGTTAGCTGGTAATACTTAAATACTTACTTAGTGACGCAGTGCGCGGCGGTCAACACCCATTGGGTGCCGATTAGGGCGCCGCCGCACAGGTATTGGTTCAGCGAGTTAATGAGCGCCACCTGCCAGCACCACTCGACCGCGTCAGCGTCTTCGCCGCCCACCACCCTCGAACTCCGCGTCCTCGACGTGCCTTTGACGCCGCACACGTACTTGCTGTACGTGGACGGCTTGGACGGTATCGGGTTGGACGTGGTCGTCAGCGTGGACACGGTAGGATTCGCCGGATAGTCGACTGCGGGACACGAGACATTGAAATAAATAAAATAGATCAAATTTTGTATTATTTGTATTTTTTTGTTGCTTTTCATTCGTTCTCACGCACATTATAGACGTGGTTATAGCGCAACTATTTGTCGTTCGTCGCGTGTTCGCGACAACACACGTTCGGGGCGAAATTAATTTTGACGTTATTATTACTAGTATGGGAATCTAGGCCAGATTTTGTTCCCGAATTCGTTTTGGAATAGAATAGACACGCGTACGTGACGACGGTTCATAGTATTTATACATATTTTGCGTCCTGATGTCAAGTGGCGACGTTTGCATGTCGCAGTCCAATAACACAATAGGAAATTATTCGTCGATCGGCCGAAAACTAAGAATTATGGTGTTTATAATTTAATGTTTCATCGTCAAAACCGTAGCCCAAAAACACGTAGTTCTCGCAAACAAAATTGATAAAAGTATACCAAGCGTATTGTCCAAAACTTACCGTTCGATTATTGTTCTAAAATGTATATATATGTATAAACGTAGCGATGAATGAATATCGCTCCGACAATCGATTTCGAGTGTGGTTTCTGGTAGCGAATTTTGTCTATAGTTAGTACAGAGGGGAAGTCATTCGTTTGCAATTAACTATCGTTGCGTACATAGTTAAAATTGAATTTACTTATACAATCCTACTTTGCCAATTTCCCGTCTACGACAGTGGCTATTATTTTATCTCACCTGACGATGGCGTGTAAACCTGTAACGAACTGGGAATGTGCGGCCTGAAAGGCGGCGGTATGGTGTCGTTCCTGTGGCCGAACTGTGCGCCGTAACTCGGCGGCGTGGGCGGCGGCGGACTGGAAACCGTGCCCGATTTCTGTTCTACGACTTCACGGATTTGCGTTTTGGAGGCGCAACATTGGGTTCCCGGTTTCCGGCACTTGAACACGTCCGTCATCTCGGCGTTTCCTGCGTAAGAGGAAAACTGTACTTAGCTATCGTATAACTGTACACACAAACGCGCGATACAATGCAATCAAAGACCGCCTACAGTCGACAACCGTATGATAACAGATTTCTTAATTTCCCGATCATATTTATCGGTTTATTTTTATTTTTAGCGATTTGATAATTTCAATAATACCGAAATATTATTGCATTATCAGTGTCTAATGAAATGTTTACTGTAAAAACAATGAAACACCAATAACTCACTGAAACAGGTGAACGATAAGTACGGGACGATGCACGATCCCGGACACTCGGGACGCCCGTCCGGCGGCGGTGGCGGGGTAGTCGTAGTGGTCGTGGTAGGCGCCGGCGGCCGCGGTTTGGGCTTTTGCGCGTTCGCCGATGACGGGGCAGCCGCCTTCGTGTTGTCGCAGCACACAGACCCCCGCTTGCACGTAGACGTGTAAGAAATGAGCGTGGACGGCCGTTCGCAGAACGCGGCCATCAGATTGAGCAGGCAGAAGCCCGGACACTTGGGTAACGGTGGACCGGCGGCCGCCGTGGTGGACGTCGCGGTGGCCGTGGGCCGGGATGACGATGGTTGTTTGGACGGCGGGGCCGGCCGCGACGGCGGCGGCGGCGGTGGCGGCGCCTGATTCGAGCCGCCGTCCGCGGGCGCGGTGATGCAACAGCTATTGTCTTCACCGGGACAGTAAGCGTCCGCGTCCACGTCGTCGCAGAACAGCGCGAATAGTCCGCTAACGCATTCGCCGCGACACTGTTTGCTGCCCACTGGCGGTGGCGCCGCAACGGCCGACTGTGCGGACATCGTCGTCGTGGTCGCTACAGTCGTCGTGGACGGCGGTGGCGGCGGCGGTCGGTGCGGTGCGTTACTCACGCTGATCCTGGTCGAGTTCCTGTCCAACACGACCAAGTGTTCAGCCCCGATGAACGCGTCCTTCGACACGCAACATCGCAGTCCCGTTTTGCACATTTCCGTGACGTTCAGCACGGCCTCGCAGTAATCGGCTATCCTTTCGGCCACGCACACTCCCGGACACACGATGCCTTCGGAAGATAAAACGACAATAATATTGTTTATCACATCAGAAATAGAAATTAAGAGCAAAACGCCATCGGTACCTACTAATTACTAACCCTCCTTTTTATTTAATCCAATAGCGGATATAAATTGTGTAGGTTAAAAGTTAAAATTTAAGTTATAACGTCAATTTTTTATTTAAACCCACCTAGTTACTTATTGTATTTATCATTAATAATTGTTATAAATTAAAGAGATTAGTTTGCGTTGTGCAAACTCGATACGTACCTAATAAGTGTTATATTAGCGTTAATTTTAGAATTGATTGTACCTTTAACCGTTTGGCCGCAATAATTATGCTTATAGTAAAAACATCTTTACAGTATTGCATACTTTTTCCTTATTGAACAATTCGAATACAAAAAAAAACGTTCATGAACATTCAGTTATAAAACGTTTTAAATCTCAACTTGTTTGTTTATAATATAATTCAATTGAGTTATTAATTATAGTTAACTTTTTAATTAATTATCGTTAACTCGCCCGTCTCTGTGTAATATACCTACCTAAGTATGCATTACCATTTATCAATATTATCTCCCCGGAAATCGTTTTTCCTTCACCCGTTTACCATTTTACGTATAGTTTACCTTCTTACCCGGATTGTCCGTGGACGACGTGTTGACCGTCGGCCTCAGCTGCTGGTTGTTATGGGAAGAGACCTGTCGAAAAAACATAAAAATTTATTATACTCTGAGGATGACGAGGATTGAATTGGTTTTATAAGGATCTAGTTTTTTTTTTTTATGCTTATAAACAACTTTTCTACTAAAATCTTGTACCAATCAACTCGTATAAACTTTATAGGTGCTTCAAAAATCAAAAATTCTATTTTTGGTCTAGTTAACGGTTATTTTTCGCTATCCATTGTATTTTCTTATTAAATGGGAAAAACTGTCAATTTTTTGTACAATTGTTGTTAATTTCTTAGCTATTCCGACACCAAAGCCAAGGATTGTGCTTCAAAATCGTTTTTTGTTAGCAATTTTTTATCATTGCGTACAGATATAAATTAAATATTGCACCGTATATATCCTAAGTTCTAAATTCTCTCTTAAAAAAGTGACACACGTTATTGGCGTCACTCGAAGTTTTGAATCGCATCGATCGAAAGTTACCGCGCTCACTTTCTTATCGATACAATAACTTTCTACATTGTATATTCATTTTTACACTCAAAAGGTATAGGCACGTAAACTATTAATATTGCAATGTGCAATCTGTTTCGTTTTTATCGTTTTGCGGGTTTCGTCGTCACTTTGAAACTACGTGAATTCGATTCGTAATTTTAAGTTTTTATCGAATGCTATGGTGAGTGATCCACTTATCGTGAAGTAACTGCTTTCTCGAAGGATTTTAAGTGAATATAGTTTCTATTTTTTTTTTTTTTAATCATTATACGAGGATAGTTTAAGCTTTATTTCAACACCGTTTTCAATTTTTAAATCCTTCGAAAAAATCACCGATTAATGGTAAAAAGATCACCCCGAAGGAATGTACGTTTACGTGTTCCGGTTTGATTTTGGAAGAAATAACTGCATTTATTGAATTTAGAGACATCTTATATGGGTGTATCCAGAACACTGCGTAGTTTACCCATAGCCGCAGAAGCGTATTATGAAAGGAGTGCAACTGCTCCAACGTGCTAAAATTTTCAATTGTAAATTTTATTATTTATCATATATTGAATTTTTAAGGGGAAATATTAAAAAAAACTGTGTTTAGGTAATAATATATCACTTAAAAAATAAAAATCTACCAAGTAGCGCGAAAATTTCAATTAGCTTCAGGTCGCTTAAATCCCTATAGCTACGTCGTGCCACGGTACGAATTATATATGCCTGCCGCAGCGAAAAAGTTCGTGTTTCACTTTTCCGACTTCTAATCGCTTTTTCCAACCTCCAATGCAAGCCGGACAGTTAATATTTTGATCAATTTTCATTACCTGAGGTCTGGCGCTGGACGCTGCCGCCGGTGTGGTCTGGTCCACTTTGTTGGCCACAGCGGCCGCGGTCGTTCCGTTGACGGGCAGCGGAGGCGGTTCCACGCAGCACCGCATCGTCGGGCTCGGGCACTTGACGTTCTCCAGCACCTCGTAGCATATCAGCGTGGCTAACGTGTGTACGCACACGCCGGGACAGTCCTTGCTGTCCGCCGTGCTCGTGATGGTGTCCAGCAGACCTGCGGGACCGAAAAAGAAATATTTTTAATAAATTCGCAATGCAAATAAGTTCAAAAGCTCAAAAAGTTAATAGGTAACTATGACAGGTGTGTATATATACACATATATAAATTAGGGATGGGCATGAAATCCGAATATCCGGATATTCAAATCCGGGTTTTTTTTAACCATCCGGATTATCCGGATTTTAAATCCTGATATGCCCCCATCTGGCCATATAGTATAAAAACATGGTGTCGCATATTATTTTTATCGATTGGCCGGAAAAAAAATCAACTTTATACCGAAATGTGTTACATGACCTAACGATATTCGTATAGTATACAAAGTTGTATTTTACATGTGTGATCGTTTTTGGATTTTTTGCCTTAGTAAAAATCGCGACCATCTGAATTAGGAAAGCGTTGCGGAAGTTTAATATGTTGTATGGAAATGTTTAATCCTTAAACATTTCAATATCCTAATGTTTCATTAATTTGGTACACCTAATGGTGCTGTCATACGGTTCAGAAACACGGCCGCTTAGGAATAGACGAACGACGTAAATTCGATAGCAGCGAGAGATCCTCAGAAGGATTGTCGGACCACGCATATAGATGGTCGCGTTGGCGAGTACAGTGGATTTGCATACAGCGATTTCAATGAGAAGGATGAAATGGACGGAATCAGGGGCGGTCAATACCACGAACAGTTATCGAGTGATCGAGGAGGAACCGGTAGGAAAACACGACCGCCGCCGCGTGGGAGACCAATGGGTACGGGAAACGCATTGGATAAATCGAAATATCCGGTAGGATTACGCTAAAAACTCTGGCGCGTTACCGGGCCCGAACATGGATATTCGATTATTTGCAAACGTCGATTGGATCACGGACGACGGTGACAGTGATTTGAACCGGTCGCGTGGCGCGCGCTGTAAGGAAGTCGTTTTGCATACAGGGCGTTCGCGAACCGGCCATTATGTTCTGTGAACGCGAAGATTTCGAACCGTCGCTGCCGTAGGTATGCCCGCAGACCGCGATTTCGTGTGTATAATAACGGTCTTGATACGTTTTCAACGTTTCTGAATTGTCACCGCGGTGTATTATAGCAGCAAAAAAAAAAAAAATCCCCCGAAATCTCCGTACAGACATGTTGGTGGCGACCGTCGCGCGTTCGTGACCGTCCGGTATACATGCGGTGTATCGTAACGACGGCCGGTCTCCGCGTAAAGTAGGTATTCGGGTCACCGAGACGGGCCGCCGACGACGGCGCGTTCCCTCCGTGTATATTATTATAACGGTCTGGATCGGTGTGCGCGTTTCCCGTAACGGTATACGAAAAACTGTACGGCGGACCACTCGTGTCAATAGATGATGATAATAATAATAATAATAATAATAATAATATTATAGCGCTGACCGTCCGTATATTTCCGGCCATTCCGTCCGGGCGGCTTTTCGGCGTATCACATATGCATAGATAAAAATCAAAAACCGGCTCAATACGCGACGATCCGCTGTCCGTCCGTGAACGTTCTTGTTCACTTTTCTCGCGGCCCGGACCGGGTGTTATTGCCGCGGTCGATTTACAGAGCACCGCCGTCGTTATCGTTTCGTTGTTATCGGTGTGTTGTCGGTAATAACGCGGTGCACCTCTATTGTCGCCCCGCGACGCCCGATACAAGTGCACGGTACGACCGTTATAATACAATGCTTGCGAGTAGGGTTCGGAGCAGCAGTACGCACGGGAGGTAAATTTGGCTAAATACGCACGCGGGCGGATTAAAAACGTGCCGTACGAAAAATCAAAATTTAAAAAAAAATAATTACAAACGGGCCCGTATGTATTGTGTATGGAATTTTAAAAAAAAAATAATAATAAAACGAAAATACAAAAAAAATAAGGGATACTGTTGGCCGCAACGTAAAGATTAAACGCGCGTACTGCGCTACGCACGATGGCAATAAATACGATGATTAATAATCTATGTGTACATTAAAATGAAATGATGTATTGTTGTTGACGCCGTAACTTGAAAACGGATGGACCGATCCGACTGATTTCAGATTCCGAGCGAAGCGAGGAGTGTATTGGTTTTACAATTGGCGTTTATTGTTTTGTTTTTTTCCTTACTTTGTACGAGAATTCTATCAGAAATCTTGCTCCCATTTTCAAGTGTAGCGCTTTTTCCGAAAGGGAACTTTCTCTAGTTGATGCGTTGAAAAAGGTCATTTTTTCATTTACGAAGCGGTTTTCGAAATAACTGGGAAAAACGAAAATACCGCTTTAATTATTTTCAATTTTGTTTTTTTGTTGGTAATTCAATTCAAAATTGAAATTTGGACGGTCACGTTATATTTTCTTTTTATGGACGTGGTCAAATTTTCAAATATTTAAGCCATTCTTGAGCTATTTATAGACATTTTAATTTTGCGAGGTTTTTTCGTAATTTTTATTCGGTAGGTACTCTGTGAATAAAATTGCTAGTCCAAACAGAGATTATTTAAAATTTAACACGTGGTTCATTATAAGCTGTACTTAGAGATCAACAAGAAAATGTTGAGTTTAATGTTGTATTTCTTTTACACAAATTTTAATACCGTATTTTGACGGAAATCGTAAATATTACGGCATTGTTATGAAAATCATGAAAAAACGTCACAACAGAAAACTTTTAGCCCGCTGAAGGTAGACCACCCATTTTCCATCTATTTGTTTTCATTCAATACTGACACGGTCAAAACCAAATAGAATGTAGCAAATATTATGTTGTAAAAATAATACTACTGTAATAGTTCGTAAACTTTATTAGACTTACTGACATCTAAAAAAAATCCTATATAAGTGACAATTTTTAATATGTCAGAATAAAAACCTTTTTTATTGTTAATCACTTCAAATAAATTACTATCGTGGAACTCATTGAAATCCACAGTATATACTGAACAATATATAAAATACTACTTTATCAATACAAATATTGACTATTTTCACAATTTTCAACGTAAGGGATGATAAAAATTGTGGCTGCAACAGTTGCTGACGTTTTAATTTCGGATTGTTTTTTTTTATTTTTACATTGATTTTAGGGTTTCCTTCCGCCTTTTTACGATGTAAATTTAACAAAGACACCTGCTGCAATTTATTGTTACTAACTATATTATTATTATTTACTGTCTATACAGATTTACCGGCTGAAGAAAAATACTTTCCGTTTTACGCGACGGTCTGTATAATATAATGTCTACGGACAGTAAAACAAGACGCGAAATATTGAAGTCGGTAGGGCCCGACGAATGATGTGACAGCGCTGAAAAACTTTTGTAATACTGTCGGAAAAACGCGAGTAAAAGCGGAGACCGGTAAAATAAGAGAAAAATGGGCCAAACAAATATTTTTTTTTTCTCTATTTTTTTTAAATCGTGAAACATGAGCAATTTTCTATAAATCTTTAATTTTTTTTTTTTCGTGAAATCCCGTGTGAAATTGTACACTATGACACTAAAAACATTTGTTTACGTAGTTCTTTTAGTGAAATCAATTCTAACGTGTTTTTTTTTTCTGACCCGAGAACCTTCTTACTTCACCTACAAAAAAAAAAAAACAACCGTGGCTGGCGAGCGTCAAATTTTCGTACACGTCGACGCTGTAACGGTTCAGTGTTTTTTTTTTTTATCTATTTCGTATCTACCGGGTGAAAATTATCGTAATAATAAATGTTTTGCTCGGTAAAAGTTTATAGTTAAAAGAAGAACCGTACCGAAAACTATTCCATTCGACCACCAAAACGAAATTGCGACCATAGTCATAACTTTTCATTGGTACGATTTTCTACGATATAATACAAACTAGTATTTAATATATTTTTATTTAGATACGAGACCCGCAATACCGTATACTTTACTATGTGTAACACCTTGAAAACATAACGGAAACGGGTTTCGGACGGCGGAACTGGTTTCGAAAAATATATTAACATCTTCATCTTATTTTTCATTTTTTGTTTCTCTCCCCGAAACGCCCGAGCAATATTTTACTACTAGAAATCTGCCCAGTCACGAAAAAACTCACAATAATAATAATAATAATAATAATAATGATGATGATGATGCAGGTGGCATATACCTAGTCTCTAATGAATTACACGCGCATTGTCGCCGTACGGATAATAGGTACGTGAATAAATTTTATTCGACGTGACTGCGTGGAATTTTCTACGTATACACGCGAACACATTTCAAATTGATAGTCCTTTCGACGTTTCGATCGTTATAATCGATAACCGTTATCGGATATTTATTTTTTTTTTACTGGAGTCTTTTAACACGCGCGTCTTCTTGTCGGACGTCGTGCGCGATACGAACAGAACGAAAATTCTCAGAATACTGAATAGCGCGGAATATAACGCGCACTTTACTATCGGCGATCGGAGAACATTCTCACGACGGACACAAAAATTATCTGTTTTTGTTACCACTCCCACCCCCCCTCGAAAAACGTTTTTCGAATTAGTAAAAATACTACAAAACTTTCGCGCGCAGAGTCTTAAAAAACTCGGACTTTTCGCCCGCGTCCTACTTTATTTGAAGCGTCCAATGCCTAGGATCCGAATAGTTTTTCAAATTCAAAGAAAAAAAACATCAAGAAAACCGACAACTGACTACTACAGGATCTCCGGGTCTCGAAGTCGGATTTTCGGACTTATAATTCCACACGCGTCGCACATTAGAATATTATGAAAATGTTTATTTTATTTCTATTGTTTCGTGGTAACGAAAAAAATTCATTTTTCTATCCATAGAGCCGAAATATCGTTAATATATTGTAAAAACTCGAATCGAATCTGACGGATAGACAAAAGTTTTAGGCGTTTTATTTTATTTCGGATTAAACTACAATACAAAATTATTTGTCTACAGGGTGTATCCCGTCTCCCGTGTGTTATTTTAATCTTGTCGTATAAATAACGCGAATCGCGAATACGCAGTTCAAATAATATGCAACGAGCACTTTGTATTTCTATTTTTTTATGTAAATTCGTCATTTTCCATTCAAGTTCATGCGCGCGAGCGCGCACGTGACAATCGACTTTCTTTTTCAAAAGTATTACTAGTCCGCCGAGTTTAATAATGTATCTTTTTACCCGTGATGTTATATTTCCAATTTTATGTGTTATTTAAATACACCTAGTTATATTTTTATCTCTTTATTTTATATATTAGATATATGGTGAATGATATATTCTGAAATGGACAACCGAATAAAGAAAAAATAATAAGATAAATATAAATACTAACATCGGTATTTACATAGGGAGTACTGCATTGTAAGCAATGTGCTTTCAACATATGGCTTGAAAAATCACGGGTATATATTGTTTATTCATTCGAATAATTTAAAATAAAAAAATCCGTCACGATATATTGTTATCGTTGTCCGTTTTTATCATTCGTGCCACTAAAATCGTAATAATACAAAATGGTGTTTATTTCACTAATTATAACTGTACAATTCACAGTCTTCTTACGATTTACAAATTACAATACTTTGCACGGGATATTTGTAGTGATATACCCTCGACCAGGCTCGTCCTTAAGATTTCCGAAGGCCAAAGCGACATTTTGAATATTTTATTATTTTATTGTATTATAATTCGTATATATATATATTTTTTTTTTTTTGCGAACTCGAGTTCCCAAATCTAAGTAAAAAGCTCGAATTCCAGGACCTGGGTCCTGCCCTCTCTCCTAAGGACAGCCCTGTTCTTGATGAAATCTATGGGAACACCACTGAATATATATGTTGCTCGGAAAAGGGGGTTAAATCAATAACGTCAATTTTTTTTATCATTTTTTTTAACGTTTTTCTTCTTTCATGATTTATACAATTATATCATAATCCATTTTTTATCATATATAGATAACCCTTTTTTCTCGTGCGTCCAAGAATCACACTAGCAATTATCACTTATTTATAGCTAGACATTTGAAATTATATTTGTATACAGTATACAGTCTGTATATATTTCTATACACGTTTCGGTGGTCGAATCGTTGACTTAAATATCCATAAGTAGTACTCCGGTATAATTTACGTGACCGTCAAAAGTTAGGCAAGTTTTTTGTTCGTTTACATAATATTACGATTATTGAAATCGAAATTGAAAATATCCGAAAGTGTATAAATTTCGAGTTAAAAATTATACAATTCGTACAGGTTGCGTATAATAACGATGAGTTACCAGTCATATAACGCTAATAATAGCTCATGACGTTCAGGATGTATATTTATGTCGTTAAATTAATAAACAGATTTGGAGAAAAAAAAATGAGGTTTTTCGGTAATACGCGAACTAGGGAGTAATACGAATCAATTTAAAATTTAAATGAGGAAATAACGGCTACATAACACGATACTTGCGTATAATTTCTTAATTTACGTTATTATTATCATTATTTTGTTTATTAAAATACACAGCGAAATAATTAATATCATCATTACACACTCTGTTTAGCACACAGGTAAAATATGTTCACGGTTGTTATACGTTATTGTATTTTTTAAATATAAAGTTATTTTAAGTTATGATAATTCACGACAGTTAAAAATAACAGTTATAATTGAGTACCTGTAAATACGTATTATTTTTTTTCGCAGTTATTTATATTTTGTGTTAATTGATACGAAGGGCGAACATGATAATTATTACGATTATAGCTAGAAAAAATTTGAAAATACTATAACCCTGGGGCTAAAAGCCATAGCGTTGTGTAAAACTGGAGGGGGGGGGAAACGTAAATATTTTTCAATTTAATTTACCTACGCTCGGTTTAAAAAAAAAAAAAAAAAATGTATCCATATTTTATCAACACGAACCAACGGGTTTCGAAAAGAACAATATTCATATTCCCTTTGCACCGAACTGCGGTGTTTCGATTGAATTCCGTAACCGGCGCAGGGTGTGACACGCGCCTACGTCACGTCACGTCGTGGTGCCGTGTCACCGCCCACACGTCCGTCCGTCGTCGTCCGTGAGAGACTCGGGCAAGACGTTTTCGGGCGACCCGCACCACACGGAGGGTTCAGTAACCGGCAAGGCCACTGGTCGCGTGCCCCGCGGTTCCTATTCCGGCCGCCGCTGTTCTATCCCGTTCGTTTTTCGCCGCACACGCGTTCCGGATTCTTGCACGTGCGACGCGGCCGTACGAATACTATACGCTGTCCCCGACGCCAAACTCAAACGCGGAATATCTGGTCGACGGGTTGACGGAAATCAAAAATGTCAACACCGAAATTTATTTTATCTAATAATCACTCGGTTTTTTTATTAGCAATTATTACTGATTGCGTTCAGGTATACTTTAAGTTTCCACTCTACCTACCCAACTTCTTACCTACAACAGTGGCCCACCTATCGTGTGAAGTGTGTCCGTTTGTTTTTTCAAATATTTATTTCATATTCCAATAAATAAATTTTGGAAAAAAAAAAAAGGCTACCACCGATATCAGGTATTGGTGTAATAAGGGGCTTTTAACTACGAACGCTCGCACTCATTTTTTACTCCAGTCCATTACTGCCTTCAATGATGTGTTAAAATGAACTTGTAACATTTTAAATTCTGAGCGAAGCGAGAAACGTACAGTTTACTACGAATTATTTTTTTTTATTTTGGTTCTGTAAACAACGCGTTTTTACCACAAATCTTACTCCAATCAAATGGGAGCTTTCGTGTAGCAGTCTTGATCTATTTAGTCTAATTAGTGTATTTAAAAGACCTTTTTTTTTTTTTTATTTTTTAGTGTTCTTATAATATACCATATACTAATGGGAAATATTTGTAATTTTTGTAAAATTTTTGTCAATTTCTGGGTGACCTTGTCAAGAAGGGTTTAAATACGAAGTATTATAAAATCATTGTTCGTTTGAAATGGTTTATTTTATCGATCGTACAGATAAATTAAATAACTCTATATAATACCTTACTTTCTGATTTCCCTCATAAAACAGTGTCAGCATTTTTTTTTTTAGAAACAAAACACAAATATTATGTCTCAATCGACCGCCTAAGAAGTATTAACCGATGATCGGCAATATAAATATTTTAATTCAGTCAGTCGCGTTATCGTCGCACGTCTGAAAAGTGCAATTGAAGGGCTCAGTGCAACAAGACATGTCCACTTTTCGAAATTGTTTAGGAGAAAGAAACAAAACCATATATCTATGGGGATTTTTTGTTTTTTTGCTTGGAATTCGGTTGAACCACCATAGATCTAAAGCGTTTACCATTCCCAACTATTTGCCTACTTTTCCGAATTTTTCCACCGGCTCTTTTTCTTCTCTCGCGTTGTACAAGTTTATCACATTTCATAAACGTTATTACATCATTATCTCTAGAAAACCAAAAATCACTACTGACCATAGACATATTATAATACTATCACCATACCTACTAGTGTTATATTTTAGAAATCATTGATATTTGCTCGGATTTCTGCGGTCCACGGCATATATCAGTCGGGATTTTTCCGTTCTGGATCATTGTGTTCCGACATATTCCATTCCGGGCTCTTACGTTCCGGATTTGTATAGCCTTCCCATTATTACAGCACCAAATTATGTGGCATTTATTTCTTTACTCCGAAACTACCAAGAAACCATTTTGAGCTTGTCTTGTTTTTGCACTGATCGCTTCGGTTATTATATCTCGCCGCCGAGTCGTGTGAGGTTCGGAACCTGGACGGCGGCGGCAACACTACACTCGGTACGAGACGCGTCTCGATCGCTGACGAGTGTATGTAATAATGTATTATATTAGTAACTGCGTATATCATTACTGCGGCTACGTATGGGTAGTATGCGTGGACGATGGCGGCGGCGGCCGATCGGGGTCAAGCGCTTTCTTTACGACGATTGTCTTCCGCCGCCGTCCCGGTACCGTTACGTCGTCGCGCGTCGCGTGTCCCCGTTAATCCGATCGAAAGCGTCTTCAAACGGCTCGCCGCATGCGACACCGACACGCAAATAATATTACGCTAGGTATATCTATAACTGTAATCAACCGTAATAACATTCTTTCTGTTCGCCCTTATCCCACCGCGTTCCTCAGCGTATTCCTATTTCCCGCGTACAGCAATGTAGTAATTACCGACAGACGTGTAACAAATATTATGTAATAAATAGATAGGCGTGACTAATTTGTCGCGGGCGTTTACCTGAAAAAAAGCTGCTGGCCAGCGAGTCCGCGTCCTGGCCGCGGACCACCGCCGCCGGCTGGAGCGCGGCCGCGCACATCAGCAACACCAGCGGTCCGACCGCCATGTCGTGGTACACCGAAAGTCGTTACTGCGCGTATCGGCGGTCAGTCGGCGTCCCTGTGGGTTTTGCGCAGCGGCCGGCGTCAACTGTACCAGTCAACCGCGGCGACGGGCCGCGTCGATGGACGGCAAAGTGCAGTTGCACATGTCCCTGCAGGGACGCGCACGTTCGTTTCAACGGACCGCACTGCCGGCGCTTGACTCGTGCGGACAATACCGATTATTCCGCGTCACACGTGCGTGAGAAATATCGCTACGGCGGCGTAGGTGGCTGTCCGCTGCTGCTGCTGTTGCGGCGCGGCGCAGTGCAGTTGCGGGGTCTGTCGCGAACGCGAAAGAAAATACGTTAAGCGTACGGGGAGAACGTGTACGACGTCTGTTGCTGGCGGACCGCGCGAAACGTTTGTGACTGGCCGCCGGACCGGGTCGTGTCGGCGGTGTCTTCGAGTGAACGCGGTCCGGTCGCCGCCACCGCGGGCCGCTCCCGCGCGCGCTCCGGTCCGCCCCGCCGAATCCCGACGCACGACAACGCTCGACCACCTGCGCGAGGGAAACCGGGAAAATCGGTAATAAATATTATCAAAGAAAATGTATAAAACCTATTTAATTATTTTACTATAGTATGACACACATATTGTTGACGAAACATCACTTTCAACTGAACCCCGCTCAGAATGGTTTTTTCGTAAGCAATGTTTTATCGTTGCTTACAGGTATACTACATTAAATTACCTATAACAGTGACTGCGCCTGTTCCCATTATACTGGTACGTCTTTTTAATTATATCGCAGACACCGGGATGTAAACATTTCAGCCAGTTTACCTTCCGGTCGTTTCTTGCAGGAGCTAACAAAAACTATAGCTACGACAATATTTATGACTTAATAGCTGTTCAATTATACATACAATATGCGGTGTGGCCAAGATTTCTATAATAAATTCTCGGGAGGGGCCGAGTAGGTGGTGATAAAATGGTATAACCAAATTAAAATTATTAATTGGTTTTAAAACCGTTATAAGGTATTGTAAAAAAAAAAAAAAAAATCAGAATCTAAAATGTACAAATATGATCAAAAACGCGGTGCAGAATCTATACACGCTTAACCGTTAATGTCCGACGTCTTTAAAACACGAATATTATAATATTATAGTCACATTAATATTATACAAAATAAATATTCCACACCGATATGCGTACATTTTAAGTGTACACGTTGAAGCCGATTAATATTATCGAAATAGATTTCACTTTTCAGTCTGCATTTATGCTACAAATCTATCACCCGCTCCACGATTACTCGCCAAGTTCGGTGATACTATGATTTAAAAGTTTTGATTTGAGAATAATACATTTCGTAAATTTTCCCGATTTTCCTGGTTTTTCCCATTTGTAATAAAAATCTCTGAGAAAATCAAAAAAACGACCATTTTAAAGTATTACCCCAGTCTGATTTCATTTCATTAATTTCAGAAAAAGTTGTGCCATTGTAAATCGGAGCAAAATTGCTGGTAGAAAAGTTGTTCGCAGAAAAAAAAATACACATCATTGCAAAACCAACTCCTTACTCTCAGAATCTAAAAGAATATGCTATCGATGTAGAAATCGAGTCACTTTGTTCCGCGAAAATAATACTATTTACTTTAGGTGCCTACCTATAATAAGTCATAATCATCGGTCGCCGGATTGGAATATTATTATACAATTTATTATATTGCAGTATGTATAGGAGAAAGATCCGCTTCGTCATCCCAAATACGTGGATTTGGACGATTTATAAATTATTATTGCGATCGAAAATCTCCCAACATAGTCGTCGTGAAAGTATCGCGATGAATATATTGTTTTCTTGGCGACGGCGACGGTCGAACACTTTTCCAATGACATTGAACTCGGATGACGCAATAATGATCGCATTTAATAACGAACGCGCGTATTTTACGTATTGCGAATTGACATAGGTAACATCAAATTCGACCGGATTTTTAAATACTCAATAATAATTTGTTAATCTCGTGGATTCGGAAATTCTTTTGTTTTAATAATATGGATTCGATTTAAGTACGGACTATTTGGCATCACAATTTTTCGATATTTTTTCCGTCACCTTATGCTTCTTAATGCGATCGAGTATATTATATTAAGAGAGTAATAACTCTCTCTCATTGGGCGTAAATCATTTGCGCCTCACTATTGTTTTTTTCGGCCTTTTTCGTAAGACATTTGCGCACCGCTAAATGGTTCCGCCATACATCATTTGAGCGTCAATATGATTAACAATAGAAGGCTAAATGAGCCCTTTATTAGGATTACCCAAAACCACAAATTATTACCCAATTTTCAGCTTAATATTAAGTGTTAGTAATTTTTAAATGTATTGAGTACTAGAATTTATTTTCAAATATAGGTATTTTGAGACGTATAAAAAGGTATAAGGTATTTCTGTTTTAAAAATATAAATTGTACATAAATTACAATGCGTACAAAAACATTGGGATGAGTATATCACAGGACAAATAAATAAATTTAATTTTATAAAAATAATGGGTCATTATAACACGTCAAACGACATATATTAACTATTATAGGTTAGGTTAGAATAAGACGATCAAGAGTATTTTTGTTTTAATAAATTGCACACAACTTTGTACTTTTTAATATTTTCGTATTTTTTTTTTTTTTTTTACTTATCTATTGTAAACGGACGGTGCGCAAATGATACAACACTGCTGTTCTCACTCTACTCACTCCATATAATTTCTCTCGGTCACGTTTCACCCCGTACCCAGTCGGATTTTCGGATATTATAAAAATTATTTTCAAATATTACATATAATAATAGTTTGAGATTTTTCCTCTGCAGTTTTACCCGCGCAGTTTCTCTTGGTTATCCCATCGCCGTTTCTTTATTTCTCTGCAACGTGACCACGGTACTTACCATACCTCAATTTACGATAATAATCTACCACTTTTAATGTATCGCGGTAAAATACAATAGAATGTTTATGTTTACACGTTCGCAGTATGTACGCGATAACGGCAAATGTGATAATAATATATTACATTATAGTCGGAGACTTTAACGACTATTATACACCACGACGGTGGCAGTTGTCGAGTGTATATGTGCTGCGTGCTTTTCGTATATATTATAGTTAATATATCGTATTACTATCACTCGTACGTTGTTCGGTTATGATAATAGTAGAAAAAAAAAAAGAGTCGAAAGAAATAAAAAAAAAACATATTCCCGTATCTCGTCTTCGAATAAGTATGCATTACAAAGCTCGTTTTGTTTCTTTTTTCCTTTGCCGGTATACGAGTATACCTATACAATTATACACACAATACTGCACTCGCTTATATTACACGAGAGAAGGTCGACGAAGGTCACTCGAAAAAGATTATAATATTATTATGTCCACAAGGAATGCGATTATAATATTAATGGGTATAGCGGGACAATATTTACATTTATCGTTTTGCGGGCGGTCCGATACCGCATAGGTGAAATATTATGCGTAGACTTTTTATTATTATTATTTTTTTTTTTTCCAGTGACCTCGACCTCGACATTAAAATATCCCGTTTTATCGAATATAATATGTATTTTTCGGCCCGTGTGTCGGCGATTGTGACGACGGCGAGTCGGTGCTGCATGCAAACAGGTGCTTATTATTATTATTATTATTATTATTATTATCATCGTCGTCGTATTCTCGCTCTATATCGCGATTGCAGCTGCTACGGGTATTTTATTGATCGCAAACCGAGTAGTCCATGCTCCAGGGAGACCACACACAACCGCCGCCGCCGCCACCGCCACAGCCTCGTGAAAGGCGCAGAAAAAAATAACTTCACACGATAAACTTAACATAAAATCAGAAACCAGTAATGTATGATGCCCACGTCCTACACATACAGTTAGATGATCATATTTTATCGAACCTTATTTTTTACGAACCAACGTTATCTATACGGAGAATTCAAGTACATTTTTTTTTGAATTTGGATCCATATTATAATATATATAACGTCAATCATTTCACCCTAATACCATCGTCCGCCATTATGAACAAATTTCAAATTTCGATTTTCAAATATTAATCCATGATTTTAAACTCCGATTTGGGCAATAAATTGCATCACCATAATATAAGTATTTATATTGGTACCCTATATGACTGTATAGTATATAATAACCGTACTAGGGTAAAATATCGAAAATATAAGATCGCCGATGATATATAATTGATTATAAGCCATAAGACTTACGTCTAAAAAAACTTAAATGAAAATGTAATTAAAATCTTCGATAATAATCGCTGTATCGTTCGTTAATCATGATTGTAAAATAATCATCCCGTATAAGTATATACTGCTCAGAATGCATATCATACTGTTACACCTTAAATGCATAATTTCTCTCTCTCGTGAATAGATATTAGGTTTTTACTATAAAGATAATAATGGTAACGTAATGGCGTATTTTGTTTTTATTGTTTTTTTTTTTGATGGGCGAATGTCCTAACAATATTTTATCCCATATTTACAGTTTATAATTTAAAGGCTATACAAAGTATAGAGATTTTTTAAAAAGAGATTTGAATTAAAGAATTAAAGAAAAATAAGGATATGTTGGAAGCCCCATAGAAATATGACGTTAGAGGACGATGTAACGAATAAGTTGAAACAAAAGACGAACAAATGTATAGAATGTACCTAACTATTAAACACAATAAAAGAAAAACTATATAAAATAAGGGTAGATGGCAAATGATAAGATATATACTAAGATACGGTGTCGAAATACGTAGCCTTTTATAATCGAAGGAATATAGCATAAAAAGTCAAGATAGGAAGACCCAGAACGAGGTACATTAACCAAATAGTATGTAATATGTCGGAGTTTTATAATTCGTATGAAGTGCTAATGACAATGATAGACAACAGACTTATGGAAAATAATATTTTGTTATGAATCAATCCCGAGATTGCAAAACTAAAAGACTCATAGATGCCTCCTCTAAATATGTCTCTGATTGGTAAGATACCATTGATACCTATTGCATAAAAATATTTTTCGTGGCATTTTAAAAAAAAATCCAATCATTTTAATTTATTTTCCGTAGGTATATTAATAAACTAATATTATAATATTAACGGAAAAAACCATAATCCGGTCGTAACAAATATGTGTCATTAACATTGTGCGTAAAAATTTTATAAAAAATAAACAAAATCTCAGACGCGATTTTTTAAACAACTAGAAAAATCAATAATATATGACACACAAAAATATCTATATTTTTTTGCGAGTCGTTATCACGTTTGTATTAGTACAAAAGTCGCAAAAAATGCCGTACATTAAGTGTTTTAAAAAAATATCATGATTTCGGAGGGGGAGAGAGTTCTCATCATAGTCAAGTAAA